AAAGGCCCCAAATGCTTTTGCTTGAAGCCTAAGTGGTGCACTGGAGCAAGTAATAGGAGACAGTGATTGGAGAAATGGATGACTCCTCAAAAGTCACCTTGAGTGAATAGAACTCATCATTCACAGGCCAAACACACACATAGAAACAATCTGCAACAAAGTGCAACTGACCAAGGTCTTTGTCAACCTCAAGGGCTTTCGTTAGCCATGTCTTCTACCAAATCAGCCTTCATCTAAAGGTGACAACGTTGGGAGAGACAGCGTGTCTGCAGCCACGTCCCAGTTTGTTTGCTGTGATTTATATTCACTCTTTACTATTTTCAGGCCACTTGCTGCTTGTGTTGGTGATTTTCTATTATGATATCAGTCTGAGGTCATTTGGGTGTTTCATTGTCTGCTTTTAGGTCATGCTGGTATAATACCTGCATATCTGTGTAAAATACATATAAAATACATCAAAGTACAAATATCAAGTTTTTAATGATGAAGACATGGAGATAATGATAGAACCAGTGTTTGTAGTAACTAGTTACATTTACATTTACTTAGTAACTTTCTGACAAAAAAAAAAATCTTCTTTAGGATTAATTTTACTGCACCACATTTTTCCCTCTTTCTCAGTATATTTTAATGAAATATTGCTACTCTTTATTTAGCTAACAACCTAACTAAATACTAACTTAATTCTACCATGACTTTTGGAGGACGAGCTCATTTTATACTTTTTATGTTAAAAGAAATTGTTATTTCAGGCAGAAGAAACACTTTTCTTGGAATTGTTATTTTCCTTGTTGTTCAATGTTGGTCTGTCTTTATTCAATAATTCTGATCACCAGATGTTTTGATGAGTCACACGTTACTTGAGTAGCTGTTTTACTAAACATTTTTTTAATCTTACTGGATTAAAATATGATCAAGTAGAGCTTTTTTTTGTCCGAGTCCAAATTTACTCTGCCCACTTCAGGATAAATCATATTGAAATATTTTAGTCATTCAGTCATTCCAAAAAAATTATAAAACAATCCACTGGACTTTGTTTCCAAGTTTGAAGACATTTCTCTTCCCATCCAGGAAGATTTTTCAATTCAAAATGTCAGAAATAACGTTTAGTTCCAGGTTTTATAGAGTAGAGCAAAAACAACCTTGTTTTGGTTTAGAAAACATGCAAAGTGAAACGCTGTTAAACCACTTTTGATTATAATTCAGCATTTCATCCTATACGGCCGCTGTCTTTTGGGTTCCAACCTCAAGCTTATGTCAAAACCAACTATAATTTAATAATTTGAGCCATCTCAACAAGATTTCTCATATTTCTCATATCTGGGGCGGGGTGGTGATGGCAGCGGTCTCAGCAGACACGCTGAGAAGGTTCCCTTGACGTTTCCAAAGCCAGCTTAGAGGCATAGTCATGCTCTGGGCCTGATTCCAGTGGGACGTGCCTGGAGCACCAGGAAGGGATCCAGGGGTCATCTGAAATGGATGGCCAAACCATTTTAGCTGCTTCCTCTCAATATGGAGGAGCATCAGCTCCAATCTGAGCTCCTCCAACATGGCTGGGGTGCTTGGCCATTTCCTCTTTAATTTGAACTAAAATAACGCCAGAACATGGTGCTGCTTCCACCATATGTTCTAGTGTCAGTCGTGTTCTTCCGCTGATGAGACGTTTTGTAGCCAAACGTTAAAATTTGGCATTTTTAGACCGTAATAATCAAACTGGGCTTTTCTGTCCAGTCAGAATGTTTTTCTGACTGCTGACACTAAATAACATGAAAAAATTCTTTGGGATGCTCTATAACTAGATGATCTGATTCAATTATCTCTGTAAAGTACCTTGAGATTATATGGTTGAGAATTGGCTCCATATAAATAAGTTGACTTGTACCTACTATAATTGTTTGGTGTTTTAAAGAAAATAAACCTAAGCAGGTAAAATTGCTTGAGCTTAAAACAAACCTGAGATCAGGAAGATTAAGTTCTTGATAAAACAACCCAAGAATCTTACATTTTTTTCAAGATGGCCGTTCCTCATAACAAGACTTATCTTTAAAATTCCTCATTCTCAAAATCACTCATAGGCTTTACGCTCACAGAGCTGTGCTAAACAGGACCAATGATGTGCAGGTGAAGCCACTCAGATTTCCTGACATTAAAAATACCATCAAGTTCTTTTTTACCTGTTGATAAATACATTCCTCTGTCTGACTAATCATGGATGAGGATGTTGTGTCTGTCAGCATTCAGCCAATATTTGGTAAAGGGACATTTTCCAGCTGTTTCTAGACTCTATTTTGTCTGTCTGTTAAACTCAGGGCATTGTGCCAAATATTTGTCCAATTTAACTTTGATTTAAAGCTGTAGCAATTTGCTGCTGTCCGATTGTTGTATAGATTATTTTAGGGATTATTATTTATACTACTGTCAGTAGTGGAGTGGTTAGCAATGCTGCCTTGCAGCAAGAAGGTTCTGGGTTCGATTCCCGGGGTCTTTCTGCATGGAGTTAGCATGTTCTCCCTGAGCATGCATGGGTTCTCTCTGGGTACTCCGGCTTCCTCCCACAGTCCAGAAACATGACTGTTAGGTTCTCTAAATTCTCCTTAGGTGTGAGTGAATGGTTGTTTGCCCTGCGATGGACTGGAGA